AGCAGCAAGGTGTCCCGCGGTTCGAGTGAATACGAGAAACGTCCTGGAAAAGGCTACGAACGATGGGGAAGGTACGAGGTGGCTTCGACACGTCGTCGAAGCTACTCGGAGGCTGTGGGTGGTTAGCGGAGACGATCGAAGCTCGACAGAGCTCTTCGATGTATCGTAGAGAGAAGAGACACGATTCGATGGGGGGGGGACTTAGCTTAGTACGCGGTTCGAGGTGCAACGTAGTTCTTCGACAATAGCCGAAGTCGAAAGGTTCGTCGAGACGGTATCGACGAGTAAACGCAGTGGACGAGGTTTCTAGGTTACGCAGCGAGGGACGAAGTGACGCAGTTGAGGCTTAGACGCGGGGCGAACTCGACTTATGAGCTCTGAACTCGAGGGGGGACCGGATCTTGTTTATTTTTGGAGAGAAGTACGACAGATTTTATACTACACAGGACGCTACGACTATCGAAAGTGGCACACTGGTACAAGGGGCTTTGCATTGTTCCTCAAGAAGCTGCCTCACCGAGGGGCACATATCAAGTCCATCGGTAGAGTGACGTCATGCCGAACGCGGAGATGAAGAGAACCATGCGAGACACTTCGGACCAGTGTCCGTCGTTGAAGGCATGTCGCGAGGTTCGATACCTAATCGGGAAAGACCGGCTACGTCGGTGTGGCTTGGAGCGATGCGCGCACTTGGCCGAGTGGCGTCAAGTGGCCCTATTGTTCGCCGAATGCGGAAGATGCTCCGAGATCTACGCGCGAGGCATCGGGACGACCGTGCCGAGCTTCGAGTAAGCGTCGCGCACCGTCGAAGGTGTCGAAGAGCGTCGAAGGCGAAATCGAACTGTTGTGTGACTGAGTCGAAGTGCCAGGTGGGATGCGACTGCCGAAAAGAGGTGTATCGGGGCCCAGAGGGGCTTGGCGCCTATCATCTCCTCCCTATTGAAATTTGGACCGCCCTCGGTCCTCCACGTGATGCGAGAAGCGCGATGGTCGTGAACGGATCGAAGCGGCATGGCAACCCGTGTAGGCTTCGAACGCCACGTGGTCGGCGCTAAACGCTGGTCGGAAAGGGGATATAAGCAGGGTAGACTTAGCCTCATTTTCCCCAGCCCATCGTTCCTTCTTCGCTACCTCGTCGCCCCTCCTCGCATACTCGCTGCTTCGAACGATGTCCTCTCGCTCCGCCACCCCTGCCTCGACGCCTTCGCTCGTCAACCGCCGCCTCGCCTCTCTGCTCGTGGTCCTCGAGGCTCCGCCGACCGCCGATGCCGCGCTCGACGTGGTCGAAGAGTGGGCGCAAGACTTGTCGCCGCTCGTCGTAAGTCGCTCGTAATCTGCATAACCCAAACTAACCGTTTTGTTTTCGAATAGCTCGCCTATCGCAAGGCCCTGGGCGCCATCCGCGACGAGGAGACGGAGCTGCGCGTCGCCGCCGCCGTCAAACAGCTCGCCGAGCAGGCGTCGGAGTCGTGGGTCGAGTGGGCGCGCGGTGACTGGCCCGAGCTCGCGACCGCCATCGACGCCGAGGCCGAACGACGGGTCGAAGAGCAGAAGCGCCTCGCCGAAGAGGAAGCACGACGCGTCGAAGAGGCTGCGAAGCGTGCGAAGGCCGCCGAGGACCGTCGCCTCGAAGACGAACGGCGTCGAAAGGACGAAGAGGACCGTCTCAGGCAGGCCGAAGACGAACGTCGCGCACAAGAGGCCGCCGACGAGGAGTTGGCGAGGATCGCGGCCGCCGAGGGACTCCTCCCCGACTCGGCGACTGCCGGTGTCGACAAGGGGAAAGGGCGCGCGAGGGTCGATGACGAGGTTACTGAGTTGTCGGATGACCCTTCGGTCGTAAGTCTTCTTTTCTCTGTCGTCGTTCGATCACTAATCTCTCTTTCGTAGAAGACTCCTCGGACACTCGAACGTCCGTTCGCGATGACAGAGGTCGATATGGCTGCCGCGGCGATTGTGAAGCGCCAGGCTGGACAAAAGGTACGTTCGATGCTCCGTCGAAGCGGTTCGAAGCTAACTCCTCGATAGTGTGATCGTTGCGCCGGCTACCGCTTGGCCCCTGTTGAGTGCGTGTGGGTCGAGAACGCCACGACCTGCGAGAGGTGCGCGCAGTTCCAGCAGGGCTGTTACTTTGACAAGGTGTCCGTGCTTGGGAAGACAAAGAAAACGCGCGGCGGGGGATCAACCACAAAGAAGCGCAGTAAGTCGTTTCTTCTTGTCCTAGGCCTTCGCTGACGACTTAGTAGTTCGGCCGACCTCTCCTGGGCCTTCGGTCGCGGACTCGAGTGGTTCGAAGAAGCGCCGAGTCGACGAGCCTCCGCGCCCCCTTCTACGACTGCCTCTTGATGGGGCCGGCCGCCTGGGCCTGGAACAGGACGACCTCAATGCGCTCGACCTCGACGACAAGTCTCGGGGGATCATCCGCGTCATCCGCGAGGAGCGCTCCTACACGACATGGACCTCGACCTCCAAAAGATGGAGAAGGCCGCGCTTGCAAAGGGAGGAATCGGGTTCGTGCGCGGGGCTGTCGACGAGGACTAGGCGATGGCGCGAGTCATTTTGTATCGTAGTTGTAATTTTGTCGTAGAATATCGCGGCGATAGTCGAATCGAAAATGTGGCCTTTGGCCTAGACGAAACCTAGCGGGAACTAAGAAAAGGAAATGAAAATAAGCGTGTTCGAAGTAAGTCGTAATATGATCGAAGGAGACAGAAGGTGAAATAGAAATGTTCGTAGCGAGGGAAAATGGACTTAATGAAAATATAGGCTCAGTTTGTCATCACAGCCTAGGAGGACTCGTCTAAGGTGAGCCTCCGCGCAACGGTCGAATCGAAGCGTTCGTAGAACGTAGAACGATATTGCGACTATCGAGTTGAATCGACGATATTCGTACAAGGGATGGTCTAGAACGTAGGAGAAAATCAAACATATCGCGTAACGTGAGAGCAGGAATGGAGAGAAGAGAGTACGTATCGTGGTGTACAAGTAAACAAAAGGGAAGAACCTCTATTCGTCGCGTTCTTCGGCTTTTTCGACTTCATCATCATCGTCGTCACCTAGAGAATTCGATAGTTCGAGTTCTCGAAGACGCTCGGTCGAGACATCTTCGAGATCTTCGGGGATTGGAATGGATTTGCGCGCAAAATATGGAATGACGCGGAAAGCTGCGATGGGTCGATCGAGGACTGTACCGTCGAGTTCGCATACAATGTACGCGCCGCCCTTGTTGCGCGAGACAATGATGAGGGGGCCTAGATATCACGGGTGCATCTTGCGGTTGAGGGATTTCTCGATCTTCGTGTTGCGTATGAGCACTAGGGCTCCGCGTTTGAAGTCGAAATCCTGGATTGAGTGCTCGTGCTCTTTCTCGAAGCGAATTGCTGCAGTTCGACGTGCTTCGTAGACCTTCGAGTGGAGTTCGGTGACTTGCTCGACGCGTTTCTGGAGCGCAATGGCTCTTCGGGCGATGAGATCGGTCGTCGAAAGAATCGAAGTCGGTGGTGGTTGCAGATACGTAGCTTCGACAATGTCGAGAGGAATGAGCGGATGGGTGCCCGTAACAGCGAAATAGGGTGAGCAGCCCATGCGTCGTCGAGTCGTGATGCGCTCGGACCAAAATACAAAGTACGCAGCTTGGGACCATTTCTTCTCATCTCCATCGGCTGTCTTAAACAAGGCTTGTCGCGTGCTGAAATGCGGACGTTCGACGAGACCGTTTGCCCTCGAATTGTACCCACTGATTCGAATATGGTTGATGTGGTATTTCTTCGAAAGGTAATCGGCCGCCTTGATGAACGCCGTACCGTTGTCGGTGACGATCTCACTGAGCGCGCCCCATCGACAGAGGATGTCTTCAAAGATCCAGTCGGCGAGGGCCTTCGCTGTCTCTTTTCGAAGCATTCGAAACTCCGGGTAAGTCGTGAGCGAGCATCTACCTTGGACCAAGTACTTGTATCCGCCCGAGGCCGGCATGTGCATTGTGTCGATGTGGATTTTCGCGAAGATGGGGGCTGGTACTGCGACGGTCGGAGGAATGAGGATTTGACGCACTTGTCGAGACTGGCAGATATGACACGATCGAACGAACCAAGCGATGTCGGCGTAGTGGAACGGCCACCAGAATCGCTCATTGACGAAGGCTCGGGTTGCGTAGATTCCTCGATGCGCGGTGCGGTCGTGGCATTCTCGAAGTATTCGAAGGCGATCGCCGGGCTTGACGACTAGCTTGTGTGCTCCGTGACTGTCCTTGCGCCAGAGGGTGTCGTTGTCGAGGAAGAATTGCATGCAGTACTTGATGAATCCTTCGTAAACGCTTTCGGAGATGCCGTCGGGCTTTGCTAACGTTCAATGAAATTCGAGCACGTCGTCGAGCTTCGCGTCGGCGAG